AGTATGGAAATAATATTTCTCTAACTGTAGACATAATATTTCTCTAACTGTAGACATTCATGACTACTCTTATGATGTTTTCTTATACTCTGTTGCAATTATGTCATGCTTACCCAGTTTTTCCTCAAGTAAACATACGCTTCACTTAAAAAACTTTGTGTACAGGACATTTCAGGTTGTGCCTATAAGTTGAAAAAATATTCAACAACCATAAGTAGGTAGTTGAGAAAAATAAAATCAATTTTAGTAATTATGGCTAGATACTCTTCCTACTGAGGGTGAGTCAAAAAGATAGACATTTCAAAGGGTCGAGAGCCTTTTAGCACATACACGTATTATACTAATGCTTTCTCCTTGAGAAATCAGATGGGACGAAAAGCACTTAGAGCATTAATATCTTTGTATTATTTAGTGCAGAAAGCAATTGTACTGGTGATAAACCTCCCACACTTTGGAAACACCATTAAAACAGTACCTTGTCACGACATCCATTGGCACTATTCTATTCACATTTTACCACCTTTGGATGAGATTTTAAAATGTTATTGCTCCCAGTCTTTAATATGTCAGTGATGGTTGATTTTAATTAAATACTGTTTTAAAATGTATTTGAATCACCAGCGAACCATAGGAATCCATTCATATTTTAGCTACACATCCTTAATGAGTCACTATCCATCCTTTCTGAGTTTGAACAGTTTTGTTATTTTGTTTTCTTAAGTTTTTCATTATTATCTTTAAGTAGTTATACAGCAGAGTTGCTATTTAACAAGGCAGTTTATGGCTATACTATATTTTAAAGTTTTTGTAATTTTGGCTAGTTCTATGGGCAATGCCCAGGTATAATAAACTGTGTGTATGATACTGCATAGAAGGTATAAGTTGACACTTTCTCAGCTTCTAAAAATCTCTTTTCTCTGTAGGAAGTTTGTCGTATAATTATGTTCTGTTTTCTTTTTTTTTTTTTCAGGTAAGGGGTAGGTTTATTCAGTAGACCTGCTGGGACCAGGCAAGGTTGGCACTCCACGTGGCTGGGAAAGAGAGAGGAAAGAGAGAGAGGAGAGAGAGAAAAGAGCTAGAAAAGAGCAGAGAGAGCAGAGAGAGCAAGAAAAGAACAGAGAGCTATGTTCTGTTTTCTATAGGTTTGAAAATGTTCATAATAAAATATTGAGGGGTGGATTTATATTACATGAAGACCAAAATCATGATCGTTTGAATTTACTCAGTACTTTTTAATCAATAATAGCAACTCTTCCAGTAGAAATTAATTATTTTAATGGAAAAATCACAGAAAATCCTTGTTACAAGAGAAAGACAGATATACAAATTGATCCCCATGGAAACATCTTGTGACATAGGAGTATTTCCTTTATTGACATACAAGCTATAATGAAGCTTTTACTTTTATTCAGTTTAACCAATGACACTTGCAATGTAATTTGAGTTGTTTGTATGAGACGATAAAACAAAGACGATAAGATATTGTTCTTAGATTTTAAGTTTCAGATTGTGACTCCCTTTGAGTCTGAGATTCTCAGAATAAGAAAAGGATCTCTGAATACAGAGAAAGAATCAGAATATAAAATAAACATGTATTTTCAATCTCACAGAGACTTTTTTGTCCATTGTGGGGCTTGAACTCAGGGCCTGAGCGCTGTCCCTGAGCCTCTTTGTGCTCAAGGCTAGTACTTTAACACTTGAGCCATATCACCACTACTGTGTTTTGAGTGGTTAATTGGAGATAAATGTCTCACAGGGACTTTTCTCCCTAGGCTGGCTTTGAACCATACTCTCCAGATCTCAGCCTCTTGAGCAGCTAGGATTACAGGAGTGAGCTACCAGCACCTGGCTCCCAGCAGATTTTTTAACCAATAAAATTGTAATGTTTTGCAAACGCATAAATATGCTGTGGAAAATAAATTCTTGTGCTAAAATACTCTATTTAGGTAGCAATGCAGGCAAAGCAGCCTCTTTTAAAATTCATTTCATATGTTTTTCCAATTGGATGATTAATTACAATTGGTGTGTTTAAAAATAATACAGTACCCAAATCTTTCTAAGACCCATTATCTGAAGTCAGCATTGCTTTGTGTGTATAACCAACAGACAGCATATCCCTTCTATTCCCCTGAGATATATGAGAGTTGACCTCCAGTGTAAAATGACCCATTGTCCACCTGGCACATGGATTGCATCACATCTTACATTTTAAAGTTCCATGGGATTACTTTACCCACAGAGACACTGGAATGTCTGAACTTCAGCTGACATCCTTAAGGATAAATGGTTTCCGGGAAGAATGAACATGATCATCTCACGACACATGAATCTGTCTGCTCCAAAGCAGTTTACTTCTATAAGGATAATGTTACTGTTAGTAATTGTTCTTGTTTGTGCCAGTACCAGTGCTTGAATTTTGGTCATTATTCTCTCACTTAGCTTGATCATGGCTGGTGCTGTACCACCTGAGCCATGTCTCCAGTCTCAGAAACATATTATTGTTAATTCAGAAGGTCCAAACTATATGATATACCTGAACATGTAAAATTTATTTACCTGAGTTATTTTTACTCAGATCAGTCTAAGTTAACATGCACAAATAACTTGATGCTCACTAACCAAAGAGGTTTTTGAAAATAATTAAATACAACTCAGCTTACCATGTTCAGGACTCAATGCTATTGATGCCATTCAAATTTGCATCCTTCTGATGTGTTCCTGAATTTTCTGCAATGAATGGTGATTGTGGTCAAATCACATAAAACATATAAAGTGCAGGAAAATAAAAACATGAAAGTATGAAGGAATAAATGGAGATATTTGAAATACCAAGAAGAGTTACCATAGAATTCTAGAGAATTAGAATTGGAAGGAATCTGATAGAAATAATAATAATGGCCGATTCATATCTCTGCACCCAATCAACCAGCATTTATTAAGTTTCACTGTGTGCCAGATGCCAGTGGCAAAGATGCAGAGAACAAACATTTCATGTGGACAACGTGGCACAAAGGGAGTGATGCACACAAAAAACCAGAGATATTGGTAGAGAGTTGAGGAATAGAGCAAATACAACATCTCTGTGGGAACTAGAAAGCATTCTTTTCTCAGCAGGCAACTTATTTCCTTTCTGTAATCATCTGTAAAAGGCACCTCTGTCTACTCAGTCCTTAGTGTCTACAAGTGCTTGATGGTGGTAATGATATAGGATGGTGGTAATGGTATAGGAAGAATTTAATCGAGGATACACATACTTACATTCCCTCTTCATAAGATGTGTAGAGTTGGGCAGTTAGCCCCTTAGTCTTGGTTATAGATTACATCTGAGGTTAAAAATCTTCAAGTGTGACACTGCTTTGGGTCCCATTCCAGAAAATTTGATCAAATTGGCCTGTCACGGTCCAAAGGAATCAGTATTTTTACATAGTCCCGCGGTTAATTTTTTTTAAATTTTGTAACTTATGAAGATTTACAACAGACTGAATTTAACTTTTCTACTTTGTCTGAGGCCACAGAAAAACTGGTATTTTCTATTTTATTCTTTCTCCTTTGAACAGTTGGTCATAATCTAGATACTTCCTTTAGATTGGGCCCAAGCTTCCTTATCTAGTTTTTAAGAGACCTTTTCCTTCCTTTTCCTTCCTTCCTTCCTTCCTTCCTTCCTTCCTTCCTTCCTTCCTTCCTTCCTTCCTTCCTTCCTTCCTTCCTTCCTTCCTTCTTTCCTTCCTTCCTTCTTTACTTTCTTTCTTTTTTTCTGTTGGCTAGGAAATGCATATTTGTATTTTTATCACATACACACATGTCTTCACTTAATGTCTGGACTATTTTCTTCCTTCTCTTCCTCCTCCTCCCTTTCCTCTTTCTCCTCCTTTTCCTCTTCCTTCTCTTCCTCTTTTCCTTCTTTTCCTCCTCCCTCCCTCTCTTCCTCTCTTTTTCCCCTCTTTCTCCTTGAAATCATATTATTTTATATTTTATACAAAAATTTTAAGACATAAAATATAAAAGTAATAAAAACTACCCTTAATACTAGAGCTGGTAGTATTATTCTGTGATATGTATTTTCAATCTCTTTCATATCATAATAAATGCATTAATACTTGATTCATAAAAAATTCTACAGACATCAATTCTTTTCTAAAATATTTACTATGAGGGAATTTTATATTTATAGATAGTTTTTCAAAACCACAATTTTAAATGACTGCTTGGTATTCCAATGAATGCGTAATAGTTTCTTTAAAATAAAGCTTTGGTGCCATTTTTTGTTTTAACTTGAAAAAGTCCACACTTGGAGACTGGGGTATGGCTCAAGTGGAAGAGTGCCTGCCTAGAAAGTTCAAACCCCAGGCTGGGAAGGTGGCTCAGTGGTAGAGCGCTTGCCTTGCATGCATGAGGCCCTGGGTTCGATTCCTCAGCACCACATGAGCAAAAAGAAAAAAGCCGGAAGTGGCGCTGTGGCTCTAATAGTAGAGCTCTAGCCTTGAGCTGAAGAGCTGAGGGACAGCGCCCAGGCCCAGAGTTCAGGCCCCACGACCGGAGCCCCCCCCAAAAAAAGAAAGTTCAAACCCCAGGGCTGGAAGTTGGCTCAGTGGTAGAGTGCTTGCCTTGCATGCATGAGGTCCTGGGTTCGATTCCTCAACACCACATAAGCAGAAAAAGCCAGAAATAGTGCTCTGGCTCAAGTGGTAGAGTGCTAGCCTTGAGCTGAAGAGCTCAGGGACATTGCCTTGGCCCAGAAGAAAGAGGGAAGGAAAGAAAGAGATTCAGTTGCACCTTATCTCTTACTGTTAACTTAGACCCTTGTGAATTTTAAATTATTCTCAATGAGTTTATTATTTCAAAAGTTCAGTTATCCTCCATATGATTTCAACTCTTTGTTCTTTTTTTTTTTTAATGCTTAGTGGGGAAAAGCCTTTTTTCTGTTTCCTTTTCCTTCTTGCCCTTAGATGATTAGTAATGAGAATGACCTCATTGCCTGACTCTAGCTTTCTCCACTCCAGGAAAGAAAGGATAAGTTCCTGTCCTATCTTGGGACATGTGCTTCCTCATATACAGGTAAGAATAGAATTTATGTGTGCTAATATTTCTGGATTTTATTGCTATGATAGGTTTTCTTTTTGATAAATATCACATGTAAGTTAAGGGATGTCCTTATACACAGATTCTAGACTCCAAAACAATTAAACACTATGCAAATCTCCACCATTTACTAGTATTATGTCTTCAGGCAATAATTTAACTTTTCATATACTCATTTATAATAAGGAATAGTTATTGTACACCATTCAGTACATTATCATAAGGATTTAGCAAAATAAAAATTGTAAGATATAGTACAATGAGTGATACAAAGAAGTGCTTAATGAACATTAGCTTTCTGATGGTGATGATGAAGATGGTGATGATAGTGATGATGGTAGTTAAGATAAAGAAGATGATAAAAAGAAACAAAAGATGATGAACATAATATTAATGATAAAAATGAGAATTTCAATGGGAATCTTAGTGTAATATTATACCCAGAACCATTTCTTGAAAGATTAGTAAAAAGTAATCTGGCTCTCCTATTAGAAACATGGTTGTTTCTTTGAATTGAATTACATAGGTAGACCTACAAAATGGAACAACACAGATTTTTTTCATGTTTTAAATTGAATCTCTTTATATCTGTAATTTTTTGCTTATCATAAAAATGTATTTCTAACAAATATAACTCTAAAATTCATGCTTCAGCTTAGAACCCTGTTGTGTGATAAATTGTATCACCTCCAAATTCATAAGTTGAGGTTGTAATTCTCTTGCAACAGAATGTAATATAGGGTACAATGTGACTATATTTGGACAGAGAATGTTTAAAGAGGTAGCTAAGGATAAATGAGGTTTTAGGGTAAAACCTCATCCAAAACCACTAGTGTATTTATGACCAGTGGAGATTAAGATACATATACAAACAGTAGAAAGATTTTGTCAAGACCCAAGAGAAGTCAGGGAGGGGGAGCTTAGGTGAAACTAATCCTGCAGAAACTTCTGGAGCGATGAAAAAGTAAATTTCTTTTGTTGAAACTGGTTTTGGTGGGAGAAATGCTGCTAGCAATATTTCACTTAAATCTATAGCAATATTTAGCTTAAATTGAAATATGTGTTTTCTTTAACAATATTTTTTCTTATTTATGTCTTGATTTTCTACTTTGGTCCTCCTCTAAAATATTTGTATGCTAAGAAGTTTATTCTAATGTTTGCATTATAAGTTTATACCTTTTTATTTTAGCTTGGAGAAGTACCCAAAGTATCTGAAATATGTGCCTGAGTAGGTTCCTTTCCTATGTGGTCTTTTCTAAGAATTAATATTTTTCTTATAACTGTATGGTGGTTGCTGTATCTGAATGCTTTGTAAATGTTTCCTTTTTGAACAGCCTCCTAGGAGAGAATCACTGAGCAGCTGAATTGTAGTTCTATTGGAGCCAACCAAGATTTTTGTGTGTGTGTGTCTAGAGTTCTACAAATCACAAAATTAAGGTGTGTATTTTGCTAGAACTTAATTCAATGAATAGCCTCTGAATAGTAAGCTAGGTTTATTGGCTTATTTACTTATAAAGACAAAAAATTAGAAAGCCATTGTCCTTCTTTTCTCATTAAAAACAAAATCTTCCAAGAGATTCAAATAACATGGAAATATGACAGTGACTATCCAGAAGTCAGGACATGGAGAATATCTATTAATGCTTTTTGATCTGAAATATGAGAGGATATTGCTTGCTCTGGAAAACATAAGTGTGTGGCCATTATAAAAATATGTGTCTGTCTGAATAGTTTTCAAAGACTCTGAATAGAAGATGATGTATTCATTACATGTTCATGCTTATAGTTTTCCTCCATAGAATAGATGTAAACTTCAGCAAATAGATGTAAACTTAAAGTGAACACACCTATTTTATACTTTAGGGTGTTTACCAAGGAACATGTCGGTAAGCCTAGGTAATTATAACAGAAGTTATCTCATGAGCTAGTGTTTCCCATTTTCCAAGGTTTTAGGAAATAGAACCGGATATTTCCAGACAAATTCTTATCTACTAGACGTAAATAGAGGGAGATGATTGGGAAATATAACTAAAATAATAAAAACATTAATAGAAGAAATATATTGAGGCATTGTTGGCCCCATACGATTTCAATTGAAGAGATCTAATTCCCTGATTATGGAAATGTATTTTACTTCTCTTGTTTCCTAATCTTAAGAAATGAACCCTAAGATATGTATTCAAATGTTTTTTTTTTCTTTCATGCGATTGTTTCTAACACATTTATAAGATTATTTCTTTGTTGCTATGTATGTCCCTTCCCCACAGTATAACCCCTGCTTTCACTGTATTTGATGTTGTTATAATTTGTGGAGGGGAAGGGCAAAAACAAATCGTTTAAATAGGGATACAGGTGGACCCATTGCAACAATGAGAAGCACAAGTCGTTATGTCGAAAATGAACTTTACAACTTTGTTGGGGGTGGGGGGAAGGGAGGCGGGAAGAATTGGGTGGGAAGCGATGGGAAGGGGAAACTAAGGAGGAGGAGGCTACAATGCTTGATAAGAAATGTAATCATTATCTTACCCATGTAATTGTAACCCTTCTGTACAGTATTTTCACAATAAAAAAATGATAAGAAAAAAAGAAAATTATTCTTAATTTATTTTATGATATATCAGCATTTCCCAGTCAAGGTTAATATCCCAATTTATCTCTATCGATATCATGCATCCTTTCCCATTGGTTTCATTTTCACAGTACTGGCCTCACAGTTAGGGTGTACTTTTTTTTTGGGGGGGTCCGGTCTTGGGGCCTGAATTCGGGGCCTGGGCGCTGTCCTTCAGCTCTTCAGCTCAAGGCTAGCACTCTACCACTTGAGCCACAGCGCCACTTCTGGCTCTATTTTTTCTGCTTATGTGGTGCTGAGAAATCGAACCCAGGGCCTCATGCATGCAAGGCAAGAGCTCTACCACTGAGCCACCTTCCCAGCCCCAGGGTGTACTTTTGTGTTATCAGATTTAACATTCTGCTGAATTTCTTTTTCAAGGCAAAGCTTGTTGAGTTCTGGGATGCTCTCACTGCTCTGCTCATGAGATGTTTTTCCCATAGTGTACATTAAGTCACCAAATTCAATTCTAGTCATTTCCTGGAGGAGGGCAGTTATTCAGCTGTGGAAGTCCAAAGCTGGTACTGACTTGACAATTGCAGAGCAACCACAGCCTGTGGTATTTGGTATAAATGATCACCACAGACAAACATGACCTTTCAAATAGGAGCCTCTATTTAAAGGACTTACAATGAAACTCTGTAGCTAGTTATGTCTGTTTAAGTGAGGAGCCTGGACATAGAGACTCCCCTTCAATAGAACTCCATAAAGTATTTTAATTCCAACCACATACTGATTCATCTAATTTCATACATGAATAGTCATAATTTATCAAATTCATAGAGATTTAGGTGCTTAGTTTATGTGGTTTATTTTTTTTGTAGATGAACTCCATTCTTCTCCCTAAATGGGGATCCCACTGAACTCTACTATATGTTGCCACTCTGCTACAGGGTGTTCTGCGTGCAAAAGCTTTGGATGGTTTCGATTTCATCAACAGGAAGATGAAGATGGGCATCCATGTCTTTCAACTGCTCGACTCTTTCGCCATCCATCTTGGTCCATGTGTGGTTTACCCAGGACCTAGCATATGAAAGCTGTCTAAATAATAGTCTGCAGGTGAGAGGTCAAGAAAAATATGTAAAAGGCTTCCGATTGAACCAGATGATAAAGTAGCTCATTTTGTCATTTTAAATGCTGGACTAGGAATGGCGGTGGTGGGATCAGGGGTTAGTGGAGGTGAGAAGAATAAACATAGACATCTCCAAGTAGTTTACTCTTGTTAAAAAGGAGGAAAGGGAGATAATAGCAGGACCAAACAAGCCCAGGAGAAGCAATTTTATTAATTATAGTGTTAACCCAGCATACAGAGTGCTCTTGCTATTGGCATGAAAGCTCTTACTTTCCAAAAATATTAACCTTTCTTGGAACTGTATGTCTTAATTAAGATAAGTCCTCAGAATGTTGCCAGTGTCAGCATGTCACATCTTCATTGGTGTTTAGAAACCATTTGTGAAAGAAGTGAGTGAAGTCCTAGCACAGGATCCAAACTGAGTTATTTTATCTGAGGAACTGCTTTCTAATGAATTGAAGGGGAATGAATACAGCATATTACTTTATTAAGCTAGATATTCAATACTACCTTAGAAAAAAATCTTGACAGTGGTGGGAAGAGATTGGGTAGTCTGGGGAAGTAAAAAAAAAAGTCACATAAAAATATAAAAATGCATTATTTGGTTTTAATTATAGCCCACTAGTCAGCTTAAGCTACAACAATAAACATATCATAGACTTGATCAACAACAGAACTTTTTTAGAAAATCCAAGGTCAACCAGATAAAAATTTGGTCTCTGGTGAGAACTGGTTTCCCGGCTTGATATAGCCCCTTTGTGTTGTATCCTCAAATGGCCTACAGATATCACTTGTTTTCTTGTGTCTTCTTATAAAGGTACCAATTGCATTCATGCAGGCTCTCTAAGTGTGATTTATTTGTTTGTTTATTTATTTTTGGGTCCGGTCGTAGGGCCTGAATTCTGGGTCTGGGCGCTGTCCCTCAACTCTTCAGCTCAAGGCTAGCACTCTACCACCTGAGCCACAGCACCACTTCCGGCTTTTTTTCTTTTTGCTTATGTGGTGCTGAGGAATCGAACCCAGGGCCTCAGGCATGCAAGGCTCTACCACTGAGCCACCTTCCCAGCCCTACGTGTGATTTATTTACCCATCAAAAGCTCCACTTCCAGCTACTATCACATTTAACATGAATTTTAAGGGACACATTTAGTCATTAGCAACCATTAACTGGCTTACAACCTTGTACCTCAAGTGTTGAACATACTTGATTATAATGTCTTCTTATTTGTAGTAGAGTAAGACTTCTATCTCTGGAGTTTGCTGCATCCACAGATTTGACCAACCACACACTGAAAA